GGCTTTGGTTGATGATGTTTTGAATTCCATGGAGAAAGCAGTAGAAACCAATGCAAGCAATGGGGCTTGTGCTTAATAGTTGACTGTGTAATAGAAACAGGAATATTAGGTGTTCTTGATCACTTCCCTCAACATTGGTTTATTTATTGAAACTGAAAGGAACTGGGCAAGACCGGTTCTCTGCTGCTACCAGAGACCATCACCTAAACCAGACATCATTTCTGTCAGTGAGGTAGCTCATTAAGATCATCCACAGAACTGCTGTTATGTCTTAGCTTCAATTGTTTTCATCAGAACCAAGAAGCTAAGTTTCATTGATTTGGAAGTTTCCCCAAATTCCTTGACTACTAAACAAATCTCTTGAGATAGTCTCAGCATCCTGATAATGCTTGCTCCACGACCACTGAAGTAACTAACACCATGGTAGGTTTTCCTATGACCCAGAGATTTCACATTACAAGATTTATACAGTTAAATGACCACTGCTAAAAGGCTAAGAATTTTGTTGCATAGTTCAGTGTTTCAGAAAACACTTCCAAGCTCAAAAATTAGGAAGAGCAGAACTATATAATAAGCTATTCCTTGTACATGGACCGAAAAGGCAAAGATTCCTTCCAGCTCACTTTCTCTGTCAAACCTATGACACACCACACAAACTTTTCCATTGTCAAGTTGCACACACCATTGCATCCCTTGCTCCGGGGGAAGAGGATGAGAACAAATGATGTGATAGATGCTAATAGCGCTGATTAGTACACACAGCAGACAGCACTAAGGCATCAGGACGACAAAAAAAAAAAGGTGTTAAAAAAAAAAAAAAAGATATCACAAGTATGATGAACCCGGATCATGCAGCAGACAGAAGCTGAGTAGGATACCAACTGTAAAGATTAGCTCCTAAAAGCACATGTAGTAAAGCAGTTCATTATCTTTTTCAGCCGTCTCTTAGATTTAATAGATTTCTATCTTGGTAAGATTAAGACGCGCTTAATAATTGTCTGATTAAAACATAATAAACCTGGGAAAATTAAAATAAAGCCTTTTTAGTAATCTGGAGATGAGATGGGACTTTTCAGCCAGGCTTCCACAAAATAATTTCTGTAACATTGACCTCAGGATCCCAAAGCACTCCCCAGTCATTTTAATTAAGCTTCAACAGAGCACAAACCCCCCATTTTACAGCTGAGGTAACAATGAGAGGGAGTTTGGAAAAGACTATTTGATACTGAGCAGAGCTAAATGTTCTGTTATTTTACCCAAAAAATAGATTCCCAACACCTATAGGCAGATTTCTTTCTCCTCTCTCCATTTTGGCAGCCTCTGAAGTAAAATTCAGTGCACAATCTAAAGAACAGCCCTCATCATCTTCCAAGCTGCTCAGATTTGGAGTATAAACACTGCTGCCCATCTGTCTTACAAAGCTGCTCCTACCTGTCCCCTTTACTCCAGCCATCCCTGTGCCTCTTGTCCCCAGTGGACCAGTTTAAGTTTCCCTTCTTCCAGTTGAAAAATTAGATAAGGCAAATCATCAGAGTTTGACACTGTTGCCTTTAATTCACAACAGGTCAATGACTGAGTGATTTCCAATGCAACTACTACTCAGCAAAGGATTTGCCTTTCTACTGAACACGGGTAGGTATTTGTGTAAAGCCACCCCAAGATCCTCTCTCTCTCTCTCTCTCTCTCTCTCTCTCTCTCAATAACTTGGTATAGTTATATACCAAGTTATTTGTAGGAAATAGGGAAGGGAGCAAGTAGGAAGCAGACTTTGACTTATTAAAATGAAAGTGATTAAAATGTTGCACTGATTGCATACTGCAAGCAACACTGGATGCTGAATAGCATTTGGTGAGAATACTCATGGGTTATAATAACTGGGGGAAGGCAAGAGAAAGAGACAGACTCTACAGAAAAACACTAATTCACTCTTAATCTAGCCCATTATTTCTAGATTTGAGTAGGCAGCTTTCCTTTAGGAGGTAAAGTGATGGGGGTGGAATTATGCCATCCCACTGTCACTAACAGACCACTTTGTGGATGGCAAAAGATAAGGAATGAGCACAGAAAATGCTATTTAAAGCTCCACTCAGGAACCTAGAAATTTGCATTTGATAGAAGGGATTTAAATTGTATTAGAAGGCAAGGTGCACTAAACAATTACAGTTTATTACTATGTTGATTCACTGCCTGAACCTATACTTATCACATACTGCAGTAGCAAAGGAGCAGCAGTGCTCAGCGCACTTGAGCTGTATGCATATTAATAGGAGGGTTAGCTGAGCAAACAGGGAAGGGGCCAAGTGCTTCTGAAAACAAAAGTGGCTTGCAGATTTTATGGACAGATTGGAATAATTTGGGTCTTAAGTCACATTTCAGAGAAAAGTTTTCCATTAACCAAACCGGATTTCCAGCACAGTGCTTGGAAGAGAACACTCTTTGCTGTATCACAGCATATAAGCTGTGGAATGACTCTGACTCAAGAGAGAAACACATATCCTGCGGCAGCTGATTCACAAAGACATTATACACACCATCTCCCCTCGCCGCTGGAGCAGGGCCAAAGACACTCATAGTCTGTCTGCTTCATTTGGTTGTTATGCTGCATACGAAGGCTACAGTGAGAATATTCATACCAGTCAAAATTCAATATATGACACTTTTTCTCTTCTCCCATCCAGTTTTCACCTTTGATGAAAAACTGAAGGTTTCCGTATTACCATATGCTTCCTTTCTTTAGCTAGGGGAATTAAACAGATACATCCCAGCCATTCCTCTGGACCCCTCGAAAACATTACCCTGTTTTTTCACAGTGGCCTCCAACCTTCCCCATGCCCTCCTTGTGTCTTGAATTCATGGCAACTTGTGTCCTTACTCATCCATACAAAAAAAACCAAAGCCTCAGCATTCAGGCCTTCTTACACATTGAACAAACAAGGACTAAAATCTGCTAGATTGGCAGGGAGGGAAAAATCACACGGTACTTCTATGCCACAGAACCAGATTAGGGGAGCAGCCAATCTTCACAAGACTGAAACTTCTACTAAGCTAGGACATGGGGGAGGGAAAACACAGAGAATATCAAGTGAAAATTGTGGGATACCATGAGAAGAACACTAAATCTTATGGCTCAAACACATACAGGAAACGGCAACAACCTGCAGATTTCAGTAGAATTATTTTAAACCAAAAGGTTGGAAAGTATCTCTGAGAATATTCCCTGCCTATTTAGGATCCATTTGAATATATCTAGTTTCCTGAACAGCAAGGAGAAAGAAACTATTCCTTTATGGACTAATTAATATGGGGTCACAGGAACAGGCTAATGAATGAATACCAGGTACTGGTAGCACAATACTCCATGGGCATCATGTCTTCAGTGGCACAGCTTGGGCAAGTTTTACTTTTCACTTCTGCAAAAAAAAGTGTAGTACTACTTCATAGAGTGACTCAACACTTATCCATAGCATAAGACTGTGCAACTAATGCCCTTTGAAAGCACTAATGTGCTAAATGGCATCAGGGACAGGAAGTTATCAGTGTTAATCCAATTCAACTGGTTTAACAGTTACATGGAATAGAAATGTCTATATGCAAGACACTTCCTCTGAGAGTCCCCTTGCCTGAAACAGAAGCACACAGCCTTTCAACGTGCTTTCCCACTAGCATAATTGCTCACCAACTGCTTTCCCAAAACAATTATGTTGTCTCAGCATTAAAGGATGGAAGGCAGAGTAGACCAACTTTTTGTTTACCTAGGCATGCTGGCAGGTTACAGTCATATGTTTTGCCATCTGTACTGCTAGCTTTATCCTTTAACAGGTAAAACGGCATTGGTGTAACTGAATCTGTTTGCTCAGTCAGGGAAGGAGCCAGAACAGGCATTTGTTTTTTCCCTCCATTCTGAAAGGAAGCAGGAGATGGACACTCTTGCCCTTTTAAAACATTCCACTTCTCAATAGATGGGCAATTTGCCCCTGTCTGCTAATGTGGGATCTGTTCAATGCAAGGCTGAAAAGGTTCCATCCCCAGGGAAAGCATCGAACTGCTGATGAACATTTGGTGGCCTTTAGCAAAAACGATGCGAGTTCTGCCAACAGGATCCCAGCAGACTGGGAAGGACAGGCTCCAAATTAGGTGGGATTGTGATGCAGGAACTTCAGAAGGCCTGTACAGGGTATATGAGGAGCTTGCTGACTAGCTCCAGTCCTTCCCCCTCCACATTCCTTTCTTATTCGTATTTTTTGAAATTACAAGTATATTGGCAAATGCCATGGCTGCATTCAAGAGAATCCAGAAACTTTCAAATGCACAGGGTGTGTGAAGATGACCTTTCTTCTGATACAAAGGCTGCTGGGTTGTGTAGGTTTCTTTTAAAATTTGACAGTATTAGAAAATTTGTGACTAAAGGTGCTTGAAACCACTTTGAAAGCATGTCTGTGGGTCAGTATCAGAGTTTCTGCCCTTCTAAAAAATAAACAAGCCTAAGGCAATTTTCTAGAAAACAATTCCCTTTGTCTCTAATGGGATGCTTCTAAATCAACACTCACATTCACCTTCCTCTTTAGACCCCCTCTCTGAATACTAGGATGTATTGCTTCTTCAACCAATTCCGTTTATGTTACTAAATAGCTTTAATTATTTACTAAGAATTGGCTGCAGCTGAAACCTGAGTTGATGTCAGACAGGAATGTCCAGAAGACCTATTAGTCTTCAAATGACTATCTTTTCATAGTCTCAAAGGAGCAACACCATGTTGCTTAAATGTGGAAGGGCTTAGTTGCTGTTGGTTTTTTTTGTTTGTTTGTTTTGGGTTTTTTTTTGAGGTGGGGTGCAGGGGGATGTTAATAGTTTCCCTTTGGCAACCCAGGCCAAAACCCCGTTTCTACAAAACCCTGCCCATAATTACACCTTAAAAATAGAGTACAAATATTTGTTACATAAAAATAGGTTTCATTACAAATATGAACACTGTGTACTGTGCATTTCCAGGTGAATTGCTATCAGGAGTGTGTTTTTTGGTCTGAAACAGTGCCAGAAGCTTTTCGGTACATGTTTCTGTATATTTTCTCGAGACTCTCTTCAAAGATTGCTCTGTGAGGCTTCCCTTTGTATAGAGCTTCACGACTAGACCAATATACACCATCATCCAAGTGAACAGAAGTGTTCTGCTGCACTGGTGATCTGTCAATAGAAGAAGATACGAAGTAATGATCAAATCAAGGTAAGGATGAGGAATCAGAAGCACAAAACCAGCAGAAATCTAAATGTAGAGCTGCTAAACACAGATTACCTATCACAAATTGAAAAAAAACTGCACTGCAGCTACTTCTATGAAATGGGAGCCCCACATTATTCATTCACACAAATTCTCTCCCACTTATCTGAGTGCACTTGATAATACCTTGCAAACAGAAAAAGAATTAATTTTCAAAGAGCATGCAGTAATTTTGCTGTATTTTGATAGGCAGTGTGACTAGGCACTAAGCCTATGCAAGAGCAACACAGTAAGATTTTTGTGTCCTTTGAAGGTTAAAATGTAACCACAAGCAGCTATTTCAATATGAAGACAATCTATCAGAGGTATATTAAATTACTGTGGTTGCAGCTGTAAAGTGCTCTATCGGAAGCATCTTGGATTAAGTATTCTACCAAATACATTATGATATAGTGGCAATCGAGTGTTCCTTCCCCGCCCCATCTTCTGTGTCACTGTTTTAATACTAAACACCAATACAGTCTCATATTTCAGTTGCTTTGAGAAATTATTTCCTAGATCTATGAATTGAAATTTATTCTCTTAATATCATTACAAAACACTGACAAATCTGAAGTATGTGTATCTAAACTTCACAACTATTTGCCTTCTCTTGAAACTTTCAAAATAAAGGCTTGCATCTTATAATGAAATCAGCCATTTTCCTGGGATAAAGCATGAAACAAGTAGCTCAAAAATCATAAGCAAAAAATGACTCCTGAGGTGACATTTTTCACATCTGCTCAGAGGTTTAGGCACTTAAGGCACTTAAAAATTAGGACTGAGTTATCTTCAGCCTTTCGTGAATGTTCTCAGTCTGGGAAATAAAACTGGAAATGTGAAGCTTTCGGTGACCATCTTCACTTAGGAAATGGATTACATTTCACAGGGAAGCTTTACATTTTCTTATACACGTATCATTTACTAATCTACTATGGTCAAATCAGTATTTAAAATTTTATTGTCAAGTTAGAAGCAGTAAACATCTGTGAGAAAATTGAAAGAAACCTTATGTGAAAGGACTCACAAATAAACTTCTAGCTAGCTGCATCAAAATGCAAGGCTTTCACTTCAAGAAAGGAAAACAGTGAGTGAAGAAGAGGAAGGTGTAGGATCAGTTTTCTAAATTCACATTTCTAAGCTTTCACTGTCCCATGGAAAACAAAAGAAGGAATAGCTTTTGCTTTTAGATTTCTTACATTTAGATGATTAGGGTGATGCCAACCTATACCACATAAAACCAAGAAGATCTCCGTGTGGCTCCAGTAGGAAGGAAGGGAGGAAGGCCACTTTCACACTTTTTCAAAAAAGCTCCAACATTTAAAGTCAATCAACAGCATGAAGCAAATTTAAACCTGTCTATCATCCTGGAGAGGGTGAACTGTGTTTCACAGTTTGGACACAAAGAAACCAACCTACCAAACAGCAAAATCAATACAGAAGTTATACAGGTCTGTGTTAAATGTAGACAAGTCAATACCCTGGGGACTCATCAACAACTGAAGTTTTACCTCCTCCTTTCTGCAGTTCGTGTTACCTCACTTCTGACGGAGAATTCTTGGGCCAACAAATAAGCATGGCAGTAGGAGCGGCACTTGTAACTATACCACAAACAGCTCTGACACTCTTTTCCTTGGAATCTATTCCGTGCAGCCAGCCTTGTGCTTGCCTTTTCTTCTACTAAAAGCTTAACCTACATAGAGACACTCAAAATCCAACCCTTTTAACTGCAGTAAAGGAAAGACTCAAAAACCAATAGTAACTTTCACAAGCTCCTTATTCTGGTACTGACAAAGACTTAAAAAAAAAAATAAAAATGTAAGCTTCATTTTCCCTTCTTTTTTTGGAGGGTGCAGTGTGTGTGTATGTCTTTCCATTAGCCAGCCCTTGCACATGAGATACTCAGCGCTGGTAGATACAGCCAAGCTAGGGAAGAGTCCCTCTCCTGTCTCAACTGGAAACCAGCTGACAACCTGAGCTAAGCAATCTGGGAATTACACTCACAAATCATATTAACAGCAGGATTTCTGCACGCAACTCCCTGCTCTGAAATACCTGTCATATGCTTTTGTTCCCTCATACATCTCCTTTAAGAGTCCCAGAAGTTCTTTTCTGAGTGAATCATATACTAAATATTTCACAAAACATAGACCTTTTCCTTACTCCCAGTGGTTTTCAATCATCTATCTACTTTACTGCCAACATTTGGTCGACAGTACCATGTCCTTCCATGAACTCTGCTCTGTCCTTGTATCCTGTTTATGAGCACTGTGGCAAACACTCAGCAATCAGACTGTCCTCGAATCCTTTTATGTCTCACCCTTTGGTGAACGGGAGTACTGCTGCCAGCCTCTAAACCCAAGGAGCAGTCCTTTCTCAACTTGAGTGCCACGTTTCAGATCCCATTGCTTCATGATTCTGTAGTATTAGGGTTTGTTTTTTCTTTTTTTTCATGGTCTGCAGTTTCAGCATCAATCTCAAAGTCCCAAAGCTGCCTCAAAACAAAATCTTGCACTTTCTCTCTCACAAACACATCCTACCCAATTTAATTGCAGCAGCTGTCAGGACAAAGGATAAGGGAGCAAAAAGGCTACATGCAGAATACAGGAGTAAGCACAGGTACAGAAATACCAACAACTTCAACAGCAACTTCACATACATGTGAAAATCTGACTAACTAGATCTCTTGCACAGAGGTGACTACAAATTACAGGAATTTTAAAAAAGCCAACAAATCATAAATGAACTTTTAAGTGCTTATTAATTGCAAGTAGAAGTTCACTATAAGACCTGTATTGAATTACCCTCCTTTCAGTGGTATACAGTGGTGATTTGGGAATATTGCATGCAAAATATTGCATCATGTTTAATTATCAAAATAAAACCTTTTTTTCCTAATGTCAAGACCTCTCAAATTTAGCACCACAGTTCTAGGACTTCCCTCTTAATGTAAGAAAAACAGAAAAGCTATACAACTCAAAAAAATGTTTTACATTACTTAGTATTTTTCCTCCAACAAGTACCCAAAATGTTGTTCCAAATACCATGTGCATACCTAGAGAACATCAATATTTATAACTTCTACTACCGAAGTTGTCAAAATCAATTCAATTGGTGTCTTTTAAGTAAAATATTCAAGTGAAACCCTAGTCATATATGTAAGGAGTACACAGAATAATTAACCTACATAAACCAGGTTTTCAAGATGTCTTCTGAAATACGGCATACTGAATCACTAAACCATAGTATATATAGTTTCTGTGTTTTTTTGAAGATGCTTCTCTTTTCCAAATACTTGTTTTGGAAAAAAAGAGAATAAAACAACAGAACAGCCTCAAGCCAGACTACTAAATAAACTTCAATTTATTTTTCCTCTCCCATAGTTTTAAGAAAAAAACCAAACAATTGGTTATTTTAAAAGTGACATTTGCTCTCTGCTTGATAAAATCCAAACGCTACTGCCCAAGGATCATTTTTATGACCAAGTCCAGTTCCAAAATCAGTGTTTTATGAAGACTGTACTGACACAGTGCCAAACAGCACGAAAAGCATTATTATAGTTAACTGTATTTTGCTTTTAGGTGAAAAAACTTAGTATGACTAACTCCTACAGAAGCCTTTTCCCAGTGCAATACATTACATAGCTCAAAATAGGAAGAGAAATTTTTAGCTGAATTTAAAGGGCAACATCATGAGTATGACTGTTCTGTCTTGGTCAGAGAAAATCTCCATACCTGCTCTGCAGTTCACTGATGGATAAGGGTGCTTTATGTGAAGATTCTCTTGTCTTAGTCAAGTCTCCTTTTGATGAGTTACTCTCATCCTAAAAAAAAAACAGAAATCAAATTCTTACTACCTTGGATTCTGATTACAATGATCTCATTTCAAAAATACTTTCTTTCCATTTAGTAGAAGACTATTAAAGTGCTTACATTTCTTGGGGGAGAAAGGGACAAAGTATAATGAGCCAAATGCCATTTATGAACATTTTTAATTAAGTTCAGTACAATTCAGCTAATAATTTTCAGGTAATAAACTGGAAAAAATTTCTAGACAGTATAGATCTAGAGAACTATGCAGACAGCACAAGCTTCAACAGTCCCCAACAAACACGTTGGTAAGATGCTATGAAACCTACTGCTCACTGCCTTACTTTTGTTTCTTGTAGGAAAGGGGGGAAAAAAAACCACTTAAAATTTATCATTTATTAGCTTTTATAATGAGCTATCATGCATTTAATGCATTTTACCAGAGAGGTGTATTCTACACATCTGAATAGTTCGATTCCATATACAGGGCTGAGAACATGCTTACCCAACTTTAAAAAGTATCTGTGATTGATACACTTAATGTGTCTATCTGTGATACACCTTCAGTGGTATTCTTAAGAGTCGCTAGAAAGTAGTCTTGTCTTCCAAATGCTATCTATGCATTAATTAACCTATATTTGCCCTCATAGGTCAGTAAGAAACATAACATCTCATGTGAAGGGAGCCAGTTGCTCACCTGAGAGAGGATGGTAAAAATTCCACCACACACAACCACGTTCACTCTACTCTGAAGAGCAAAGACACTACTTAAGAGGTGATACTAAGTGATGCTTTCAGCAGAAGCCAACTGCTGTAAGGATTAGTAAACAAAAATCACCTTTCATGCCATAGGAGAAATAACTGGAAAAGAAGACTGTGCAGTAAAAATAATCACTCTTGCTGGTAACACAAAACTGGGAGAAGCGACAATAAATATACTGGTAGATGGCAATAAGATGCAGAGCAAGCTCAACGGCAGGTGTATGGATGGGGAAAAACCTAACAAAATTTATTGTGGTGAAATACAAGGTAATAAGTGTGTTTGTAAACAGGGTAACTCTCTTCCTTCAGCAGTCGCAGACTACAAAACACTAAAGAGGAAATGGGGTACAGTGGTAAATAAAACTCCACAGCATTTGCCAGAAGCAAATTATGTTCTAAGAAGCAAAAAAAAGATGGAAACATTATGACACTGTCAGAATGTCATAGCAGAAAGCTCCAGTGGACACCCTAAGGAATCTGCAGCAGAGCTCCAGTCACACTATTTTAACAGAGCACTGTGGAAACAAAATTTTGGAAAACACAGCTGGATGCTTCTGGGAATGGTTATTTAGCATTAGGCTCTTTGGAAAGAAACAGAATAAGAGATGTTTTTTAACCTTTCAAAGTCATAGTCTCTGTTTGGCTCCAGATCGGAGCCAAAACCTACTCACCACATCGCCAGTGTAGTTGCTTTACTATCCCCTCACTTTCAAGATGACCCATTCACCTCATCCATCCGCAGCATAACAACACAGCCTAGATTTTGGGCCATCTAAGGAAGCACAACCAAGCCTGGTGTATTTTACAGTATTCATTGCAAGCAGACCTGATTTTTTTTTTTAAGCAGGTCAGTTGCTGTTAGCACAGCTTTCACAAGTTGCTGTACACAATTATCAAACACTGTGAGACTTCTCTGTAGCGTCCTCCCATTCCTTTTGCTCAGTGGAAGAAAATGGAGGGAGAAAAATTGTCCTTTTCCAGCATTGTTCTGACCAGGCTGGTAATTGAAGACTCAAAAGTCCTACCCAATACCCTGATAGCGGGATTTTTTAGGGCAGAAACATGAGGTTTTCTGACAGGAGAGGAAACAGAAAAGCGTCATCTCTGATTATTAATCCCTGTGAATATTCAGCAAGTGCTTGATACTGGGAAGGGACAAGGTGCACTAACAGAAAGCCAACAGAAAGTATCATGCTTCAAGAATCTAACACAACGCTTGCAAATTTGTGTGCATTTGTGCAATATCACAGTAACAAGTGAATACCAGTATATGTGTAAGTCTAGAGTAGAATGTTTTAAATTATGTAAGTAAAATAAGTAAATAGGAAGGAAATTACCAAATTCTCCTTTACCCATTATTATATCTACTAGTCTTTATGACTGTATGGAGAGACTGTGTGATCAGCCATCCAGCTCTCCCAACAAACTAGTAAATCTTTTATCGTAAAGTTATGGTCTAGCATTTGTGTAATATCACAGTAACAAGTGAATATCAGTATACGTGTAAGTCATTCTAGAGTAGAATGTTTTAAATTATATAAGTAAAATAAGTAAATAGGAAGGAAATTACCAAATTCTCCTTTACCCATTATTATATCTACTAGTCTTTATGACTGTATGGAGAGACTGTGTGATCAGCCATCCAGCTCTCCCAACAAACTAGTAAATCTTTTATCGTAAAGTTATGGTCTACTGTTCAAGGAAGGTAGTGAAGGACCACTGGAGATACTTCAGGCTGTGCAAACTTTCATTACGTGTAGGTGGTGGACCATCATGAAATCCAATTTGTTATCTTAAGTTCATTGAAACATCAGAAAAGCATTTGACATGATTTGTACCTATTTTGGAGTGGCTGAAACACAGAAAAATGCGATGGGCATCTTCTATTTGAAAGGTAGCAGCTCAAAAGATCATAACATTCATATAAAAACCTCAGGGAGGTACAGCATGAACTAGATCAAACAGTCTTAGCATGCATGAGAAAAGGTTTTTCAGAATTTAAAACAAAAAGCACAACAACTAAGCTAAAAATGAAGATTGAACAGAAATGAGAAAATCAGATTAAGAGAGCATGCAGACAACACAAGGAGCTGCCCAGGATGGTTAAATTTGGGGAAATAAATAAATCAAGACTTCAGAGCTAAGACAGATGTGCTTCAGTACATCTTGCAGCAGTGGATTGAGACAACTTTCACTCTGCCCCAGCCCTCTGCCATGGGTTTACTGTAGTCAGTGGAATCACCGCATCCCAGCCAGCACAGCTCATATGCCAGTGTACTGGCGTGACGCCTGCCGTTTCTGCGTTGAAATGTGAGGTGGGGAGGCCAGGGTTCTCACATGCTTTATCACGCTTCCCACTGATACAGCAAGCTACGTCAGAGGGGAAAGGTGGAGAGTTGGGGACAGTAGTAACTTAAAATTGCAGCAACATTCAAAAGCAGATTTCTGTCAACACTCCTTTTTCTAAGAGGAGAAACCGAAGCAAAAAAGATGTCTTTCTCCACTTTGAGAGACTCATGTCTCTTCTAACCCATCAATAACTTTTGTGTGTTAGATTGTCAGACAAAAATAATAATTTTATCAGAGCTCCTAATTTTCATCTTACCTACCTCTCATCCTTATATCCTTTTATCTTACCTTTCTTTTACCTCATCTCACACTTAAGACCCTCAGTTCTCTGCAGATGAATAACCTTGTTATTCAGTTTGTGCAATGCTTTCGCCAGGGAGATCCTTTGCCACAACTGGGTTTCTCAATCACAATAGCAAAATTTTTTATCTGTCTAAAACCACACTTCAAAATTCCATCAGACTCAAGGGCAAAATATTCTGATCCTGGGCATAATCTCATTAGATAAAGAGCTCTGTTCATTGAAAGCCAGGTAATTAAGGGAAAAAAGCCCACATCTGAAGAATAATATTAGCTCTACAAACAGCTGGACACAAGCAGCTGCTGATGTGCAGCTGCACAACATGTTAAGCCTTGATGTTCTACAGATCTGTAACATATTTTTTGCTTAAATTGGAAGTAGAGAACCAGATATAAAAAGAAAAATCCAACAACAACTTCATTGTCCTCAATAACCCATGACAGGGTTACCTATACCAGCTGTCCATAAGGGCTACACATAAGGAGGTTACTGAAAACAGCGTGAAACAGTTATATACTGAATCCATACTTCTACAATCAAGGCTGCCTCAAAGGACAACATCATAATAAATTCAAGACTGTAGGCACAGTTCTCTTCCTCAGCCATGTTGAAGAAAAGAAAGGATTTAGTTTGCAAACTTACAAATATTAGGCGCTGTCTAGCACTGTGTGTCCTTAAAATATTTTTCACTCTCTTATGGATCTCATCTCCATTTGCTGGTGAAGGCCAACCAGAGCTAAACCTGCAAGAGGAAGCGGAAAAACAAACAGAAGAAATATTTTCTTGTTGAAAAGCTCAAACATGCTTTTGACTCAGATTTTTATTTTTTTTCAAATTATGAAGCATGCATTACTTCCTTCTATTTAGAACATATACAATGTTTAGACTGGATTCTTTTTCTCCTCTGGGATACAAATAAAGAAACATTTCAAAGCATCCACAATACCAACAGAAGATGCGAAATATAGGAAATTATGATGATTTTGTAACTTGAGTAATCTTTCTGTAATGTTTGTATTGTTCCTACAGAATAGAAAAGCTATACAGTTATTCTATTGCCAGTGATCAGGTTTCATTTTCCTCTTTTTAAAGGAAGTATTACACACATAAAATTATTTTCACTCGAATAAGTCAACAGGAAGACAACCCCAACGTGTGCAAATGGTAAGCCCATGGAGTTAAAAACCTGCAAATTCACAATCTTTATTTCACAAGATGGAACTGCAATTTAAGTCGCCTTTTTTTTTTTTTTTTTTTTTTTTTTTTTTTAGATTAAAAACCAGGTAGCTTGCTTGATATAAGTGACTTAAAACCAACAGCTACTTTTGAATTTTACCCTTTTATGTTTCGCAGCATGTTTTCTTTTACACTTTACTAAAAAACTCAAACCCAACCCTCATCCTTCTCAGCAAGTTCAGAAGCTGGCAGAATTTTCATATCCATAGTTTTTCTCAGACTGTTAAGGGAGGCAACTAAGATTTTAAGAACAGAATCATTTACATGCTAGCCACATGTTAGTACACTCACAAATGTATTATTTAAAAAAAAAAAAAGACACAAAAAAAAGAGTCCTCAACATAAGGAAAGAATTATTGAGGAAAAGTTATGAAATGTATACTTACACAATCTCATCACAGTGGACAGAAACAAGGCACCAAATCAAGATTGTGCATCTTCATTTCAATGTTTCCTAACCTCTGAGGACCTGACTTTGCACCAAGAAAATAAAAACTCATGATGTGGTATCATGCTAATATGAATACAGGCCACCAGGCAAGCTGTGAGCTGGCAAGCCATACCGCTGCAATTTGAGCTAATGGAACAACAGCCAACAGCAGTACTGGGCTGCCATACTCTGGGTGGATTAAGAGCACAAGAAACTGTGAGATGCTTTGATAGTTGGCTTCACAAATTTGATGCAGTGGAGAAACATCATGGCTCCGAACTCTGAGATTCTACACTGGGCTCTGGATGGGTTTGTGGGATGGGACTGCAAGCCCTTCTGCCCTCTGCTCTCCAATTTATCACATTCCCTGCGTTATCCAGTCTATCACTCTGAAATCCCCAATCTGATCATGCCTGGCTTAGTTTACCTTCAGCCAACTTCCAGAAATTTCAATACAGCTAAAGAACTGTACAGCTCCTTCCAAAAAGAACAAACCAAGTACACACAGAAAGCTTCAGTCCAAAAGAAGTAACTTGGCAGTGTTAAAATTAATGGAAGCAGGATCCTGGAAATGGGAAGTGCCAGGGTGCCTTGAAGGTTACAAGCAGGGCAGGGAGCTCTTTGCAATCTTTTGGATCATTCCTTCTATTACCAGAGAGAGACAGAAATGTAAGTAGAAAGTGACCAGTTCTCTGCTTTGGAGTAACTTTCTTCTATTTTCTCATATCTAATCAACTTACTTGGACTCACTTCTTATTGCTTATCTTTCTGAAATGTCTTTCTCTGTTCTAAACAGCCTCAATACTTTCAGCCTATTTATGAGTTTCCTTAAATCAAACTGTCTATTTCTGAATGCTTCTATTTTTCCTCAAGAAAGGGTGCCAAGAAATTTGGAATATTGCAATATTGGAAGGATGAATCATATAATCTATAGAGGGATGTATTTTCCATATTTCTAATGACATTTAACATTGTTACCTTTGGATCATTACAGGCAAGAATTTTCACAAAGCTGGCCATAACATTCATATTAGCTTCCTGAACACTTACAATAAATTTCAAACCCAACAGCATGTATGGCAAATCCATACTGTTCAACTCTTTTGCATACTAGAATCTAACTATCTGTTGCACTAAAAGATCTCGCATAACTCTTTCTAAAAGACAGCAAAATGGTTTGTGAATTTTGTTAGGGGAGGAAAGTATTGCCTTTAAAGAAACAGAAGTCTAAGTCCCTTAAGCAGGTAGGAACATTTATTTCCCTAGCACAGTCAAACCCAGTTTGACGTACTGCATTACAATGCATGTGCTATATCACTAGCAGTGCTTTGAAAAAAAACCTTTTTTTCCCCTTATTTTTTAAAGAGGAGAAGTAAAGGAAAGAGGCTGGAGTGGTACTATCATTTTATGACTTCCCATTAGCATTTACAAACATTTACTAATATTAAAGAACCTCCAAAATGCATATTTAAAAATCTGCATCCTAGACGCAGTAGGAGTGAGTCATTTCCCATTTGACAAATAAAAGACAGTCCCATGAAGTCATGGCATTTTCTCTTATTTATACAGCAGCGGCTGTTCTTCCAGCATCCAGGTTGCTGGCACTGAGAAGAGAAGTTGGAATAGATTGCCTTTGGGAAATAAATTTTATGAAATTCATATGTAAGATTTCAGATCATTGTTATTAATCTTAAATTTACAAATATCCTTGGAGATAAAGGTATTTGCTTTTGGAAAAAAGAAAACCCAGCTTGCTATTGTATTCATTCAGAAAATACGTGGCTATGTCTGCAAGAAGAAGAAGATTTAAGTACTTAATTCAAGAACTAGTAAATTTCTTTCTTCAGGTGACTTTATTGATCAATCCACTAGTGTGCGCTGTGGTATAAGAAACCTTAGCCACTCACACATACCCCAAACTTATTTTACCCCCCCAAAAAGGAAAAAAAAAATAATTAGAACCTTAAGTGTGATTAAAACCAGTATCAGCTTCCTTTTAATTAGCCTTTCTAGTATTGCTATTGTCTAATTTCAGTAAAAACTAGAGAGTCTAATCCACATTTAAAGCCATAATGTTAATATTTACACCAACCAAAACTCAAACTAAAACAAAATCGTGCCTGAAATGTAACAACCATAATCTGAAATGAAACCTTTTTATGATATTCTAACTCTCATATTGGAAATCTTTTCTGAAACAGGCTTTATAGCAAAGCTTCTTAGAGTATAAATAAAGGGATTCCATTTGCCCAAAATCACCAATAACAAGTTTTTAAAATTACTAGCTACTTATTTATGTGATTAAGGTGTCACTATCATATTGCAATGTTGAAAGAAAAGTCATTTCATTTCAATGACTGTTTGTCCCAATAAACGAAATAAACTTCTATAGCTGTATTCTTCGTCATACTTTCAATTTTCCCTGGGACTTGCAAACATTCTGCAGTTACATCAGTTTAAATTGTTTATTGATTCCAATAGATTGTATAAACACTTTGGAAATATAGCTCAGTGACCTAGAAAAAGCCAGATCAATCAGAGAACTTCTCAAGATTAATTTCAAAGATGTTGTGTCAAGTCCGATCAAGGAAACAGAACCATTTTCCCTTGTAATGTGACTAAAGGCATTTATTTTCTTTTATGAGATAAGGATTTTTTTTAAGGTCATACAGACAACATCTACCTTGATAAAAAAAA